TATATATATATCTCTCTGTCATGTTGAATAATCATGGAAACAAGCAAGTGGCACATGTTTGACTAGTTAGGTATAATTTTGAAAATGATGCACCCAACTAATAAACATCAAATATATAGACGTCACTGGACTAAAAAAGTCTGACATTATATAGATACTACGGTACCTTAAGTATATAAAAAAGTATTTGACAAGTAATTTCATACATGCATTTTTTAATTAACGATATAAGTCTAATTTTTGTTTTGAGTATAGCGTAATAATTGAAAGTAAGGGTGAACAAAGATTATACTTATAACATATTTTAATCTAATACGAACTTTAATCGGTTTGGATTCGTTAGATTTTTTTTTTCTTCTAAACTCTAATTTAGACCAATCATCCAATCATAATCATTTTAGTTTAAATTAGTTCATCGAATTTATGATAAAATAATAAAAATTACATTAAATAACTTGTAAAATCTATTATTATGTAATTAATGATAAAATATTTTATATTACTAATTTTTGTTTGTCAACATTATAAATTATGAAAAAATCTGTCAAATTATATTATATATGTGTTGGGGTAGTAAGAGTGTCACAGAACGCACCGAGCGTGGATGAGTTTTAGGACTCTCGGGTTGGGATTAGGCTGGGCGCGCTCAGGCTGAGCCGGGCGTGAACATGTTTATGAATGAAATGATGCTAATGCATGTTAAGTTGAAGTTTTGGATCATGTATGTATGATATATGATGCATGGTGAGGTGTGATTCATATGTATGCTTGGTAATGATATATATGAATGTTTAAATATGATATGACATGAATATGATTATTGATCATGATGGTGGGTGGACCATGTATGATGTATGATGCATTATTACATGTGATGCTGATAGACCATGGGCCAAGGGCCCAATCACTAGAGCTATGGCTAGGAGCATACAAGAAGAGTTGGACATCTTGAAGACCAGTGGGCTTCTTAAGCCCAGGGTACTCTTCAATTGGACTACTCTATCATGAAGAGAAGTTCTAGTTCTACTTGTGTAAATTTTGTACATAGTTCTCTTGTATAGGGTTATTTTTGCCTTTGTATTTGTGAGGCACTTTTTGTCATTTTATTAGTCATTGTATATTGATTCTAGGGTGGGTTACTTGGAGAGTTTAACTCCATTTAACCTCCTTTATTGATACACTCATTTTCTATTTTTTCTGTAGGAGAAAAGGAGTGACATATAGCAATGCTTGAAGGTGTGACTAGTAATTGGGCCAGATTTGAGCCTAGGAAAATTTTTACATATTAGACTCATTTTGCTCCTAACTTTTCATAGATTTGATTTAGCTAGGTCTCATCATCATTGGATGAACCTAACTAAACCAAATCAAACATTTTTGAAATAAATCAAGTGAGGAAAAGGAGCTTGGGCCGCCTAGCCTATGGTTTCCTCCTTTGGTCGGATTTGATTCTCATTCTCTACAAGCTTGGAAGCTTGTAGCATAAGCTTCTCCTTAGCTTGCTTACCAAGCAAGCCAAGTGAGAAGCTTGCTCTACAAGTTACTAAACCATGGACGGTCAAGCTAACCTCACCATGGTTCCTAGTGAACCATGGTTAAGGTTAGCTTGCTCTCCAAGCTACCTTTCCTTATATATTTGTAATTCCTACATTGTAGCTCACTTTTGACATTTATGAGATATAGAATTCAGAATTCTCTCTCATTTTCAAGAGTCCCTAGCCGTAGAGAACTTTCTCTCTTAGTTCTCTCTCAAGAGTTCTTCACTTTGAATCTTGGTTCCTCAAGCTTCCTCACTTCTTCAAGAGGTGACTGAACCTCTTATGGTGCTTCTCCTCCATTGGAGATTTCTTCAAGGAGCTTCCGCCATTGTTGAAGAGAAAACCTCAAGGAGCAAAGGTCGTTTGGACGGTTCAACTTGAAGAACATCAATCTCCTTCAAGCTTGTTCTATCAGATGCCTTATGGCATGAGTATGATTATTGATCATGATGGTGGGTAGACCATGTATGATGTATGATGCATTATTGCATGTGATGCCTTATGACATGAGTATGCTGATTGATCATGATGGTGCCTAGACCAGGTATGATGTGTGATGCATAATTGCATGTGATGCCTTATGGCATGAGTGTAGCCTAGGACTTGAGGAGAGGGAAAACATTTTCAAACTGGAAGAACTCACATAGAGTCTCTTGAGAGTGGTGCTTGGATAGGCCACTGATATATGAGAGTGGTGCTCAGGTAGGCCACTGGTTTGGGTGAGTCTCCTCTAAGTCCTTAGCTAGTGCGATTCCTCTAAGTATAAGAACCATGAAAGATCATTACAGAAGTGTATACTATTGGATAGTAAATAATTACATATTATATTTTTTATATTAAATAAATTGCCATGGTGCCGGAGAAGAGTTATTTACATATTATATTTTTTTTATCAATTAGATTTGTAAGAAAATAAACATGTTTGGATGCTCTGTAGGTTGACTACATGGTGTGGATAGGCGTAATAAATATATTTGACTTTTCTTCGTAGACTTAGCTTCCCTTGTTCTTTGTGTTAATGTTGATTTTTATTAGTAATTAAAAATAAAATATAATAAAATAAAAATATCCTTCTTATTGATAGTCAAAAAACTATTCATAGGTATGTATAGGTATATAAAACTCACTCAAAATTATATATCGGTAATTAAATATATATTTATTTAATAATATAATAGAAACGGATAATAAATGATATGTATATCCAAGTACTTATACTTTAAAAAATATTGTAATTGTTTATAAAATAATCTATTTTTTTTATTATAAATATATGTTATAATTATTTATTTTTAATATAAATATATATTACAATTTTTTTAACATAAATATATTTTTTTAAGATCATTTATTTTTATTTAATTCTTACCTTTTACATTTTTACAAAAATATATGAATATTTTTGAATATCAGCAAATATATAAAAATTTGTTACATAAATGCTTACCCTAAATAGAAACATTATCTTATTGTTATGGATGTCGCTGTCAAAATATTATGCCAGTTGGCCATCACTTAATTATATATACGAAATTCCTCCTTTGTTTTTTACCACATTAATTAGCACAGGTGATATAAGATTCAAATTTTAACGTTATGAAATAAAATAATAATAATAATTTATAAAATATACATATATTTTAATAATTAAGAAACTTTTTGATAATAACAAAAAATAAAATTATAAGAACTAAGATCCAAAACAGATAAATATTATAAAATAATTTTATTATTATTTTGAAGAAGAATATAAGGTTTTATTTTCATAACACGGGGTAAAGAGTCTTAGAAGCAAAACTAAATCACATACATAATAAACGTTTATTAATAAGATTATTTCACACATATTTACAATAAATTCATATTAAACCTAAATTTTGACAATTTTATTTTTAGTGATCATCTAAAAAGTTTGTTAATTATTAAAATATATATATACTTTATAATTCATTATTTCTTCTTTCCATATCAAACTTATTTGTATCTCACGAGTATAAAATTCCAAGCATGCATACTATTATTCCATGCTATTATTATTATTATTGGTGTCTCAATCACTCAACTTGACTGGAACAATCCTAACTGGCTGAGACTTTTCCAACGTGATCCCATACTCGTCTTCCTTGTCCAACTCATCCAGCTTCATCCCCTCTTCAACTCTCCACCCAAAGCAATTCAGCAACGACCCCAACATCAACGGCAACATCCTACTAGCCAGAGGCAACCCAGGGCAAATCCTTCGCCCAGACCCAAACGGTATCAGCTCAAAGTGGTGTCCCTTAACGTCGATTTCACTCTCCATCTCCAAGAACCTCTCTGGCGCAAACACGCTCGGGTTCTTCCACTTCTTCGGGTCTCTTCCGATCACCCACGCGTTCACCAGCACCTGCGCGTCCTTTGGGATCGTGTACCCTCCGATTTCCACGTCGCTTTCGGCCTTGCGCGGGAGTAGAAGTGGCACTGGAGGGTGCACGCGGAACGTCTCTTTTATCACTGCTTCCAAGTATGGTAACTTTCCAATGTCTGTTTCTTCTACTGCCTTTCCTTTCCCAACTACTTCCTCTAGCTCCTTCTGGACTTTTGACATCATCTTTGGATTGTGAAGTAGCTCCGCCATGGCCCATTCTAGTGTGTATGTTGTTGTGTCGGTCCCTGCGACAAAGATGTTCTGATAGAGAAATGTTAGCAACACATTCACTAAAAAACCATTGTTATAAAGATGTTTTTAAGAGCACTTCTAATGGGTTGCTTATAATAAGCAACTCTACTTGCTACCTGAAAAGAAGTAAGTGAATTGCTTAAAATTTATCAAAGTTGTTTATATAAGCACCAATTCTTAAGAAAAAAGAAAAAAATGAAGCTGATGTAGCAAGTGAGGTTACTTATAAGCAATCCCATTGAAGATGGCCTAAGAGAACCGACTCAACATATTTTGAGGCCTAAAACGAATTTTAAAATTAGACCATTTTAAATATGAGAGAGAGCGACCAAAAAATCAATAGTCACCTATAAAAAAATTAAGGAACTTTCAGTAAAAAAATTATAATACTATAATCAAACTTAGTCCTTAAAATATTAGATTTAGACAATGACCAACAAACTAAAATTAATCCTGATACAACTGATTCATTCAGTTCTATAAGTAAAACAAATATTTTAAGAGCCTAAAACTATCACTTGAATAGTCTTTTGTTTCGGTCAACCCTGCCTTAGAGAAATGTAATAACACATCCACTGAAGAGACTCTTGTTACAAAGATGTTTTGGAAAAACAATGTTAATAACACACTCACTAAAAACACTATTGTTACAAAGATGTTTTGGTAAAACAATGTTACTAACACATAATCATTAAAAAAACTCTCGCTAGAAAAATGTTTTGACAAAATAATGTTAGTACGTAATATACTCACTAAAAAAACTCGTAGCATCAGAAGATGTTTTGTAGACAAATATTAGTAATAGAGTTTGTGAGAAATGAAATTGAGAGGAAAGAAAGGAAGATATATACCATCAACAAGTGTTCAATCTCATCCTTGTCCATCTCTATCTTGCCATTGTCCTGAGAAATATTAAGCAAAGCATCGAGCAGATCGTCGTTGTTGTTAGAGCCGGTGCCTTCTCTGGTGGCCATCCTCTGGGCGACGAAGCGGCGGAAGATGGTGAGGACCTTCTTGACGGAGACGACGGAGCGGCGCCTGATGCCCTGCAAGTCGAGGAACCTCAAGGCGGGGAAGAAGTCGGAGACGTTGGGCGCCCCAACCTCCTTGAGAATGCTGACGACGATCTCCTTGTACTCTCCTGCCTCCTCTGCGGAGTGCACGAAATCCACAGAGAAGAACGTGTTCGACAGCAAGTTCACTGTTGTCTTGAATGCCGCTCT